CTTGTACGAAAGCTTATGTCTAATGCCACTGAAGTTGATTGAGCGTGTCTTGCCATGGCTAGTTGGATCATTGACTGAGGATGAAGCCCGAAACTTCTTAAAAAATATGCAGTTGGCAGGTATCTTATTTCTGTGTTCCACTTTAGGTTAGTGATGGGTGCCAGCTGCCTACTTTTGTATTAATTTGTATGTATTTTGTCATACAGCTCCTGCATCTGATACTGCTCTTGTGACACTTTATTCTGGTTGGGCATGTAAAGGACGTAACCATGGAGTGTGTTTATCTTCTAGTTCAGCTGGTTGCTGCCCTGTTAAAAAGTTTGTTGCTAAGGAACCAAATTCTATGCAAGGATCATGTCCATGCTCACTCACTATGCAGACTGATGATTCTAGGAGGCCATTGAAAAGAAATCTTCCAGTGGTTTGCATAGATGGTGATTCATCTGACTTGTCTAAAGGCTTAAATGCTTGTAGTTCCTCTTACAATGATCAGTCTTGTTGTGTACCGGGACTGGGAGTTAGTGGTAACAATTTGGGACTAGGTACTATTTCCACACCAAAATCTTTTCGATCATTGTCCTTCAGTCCTGCTCCTTCTCTGGACTCTAGCCTCTTTATTTGGGAGACAGATAAGAGATCTTCTGGTATTGACTGTAAAGTGCATCCAATCGACACCATATTTAAATTCCACATAGCAATACGCAAAGATTTGGAGTATCTAGATGTTGAGTCAAGTAAACTCAATGATTGTGATGAGACATTTCTTCGACAGTTTATAGGTAGGTTCCGTCTGCTTTCAGGCTTGTATAGAGCACACAGTAATGCTGAGGATGAAATAGTTTTCCCAGCTCTTGAATCTAAAGAGGCCCTTCACAATGTTAGTCATTCGTATACATTGGACCATAAGCAGGAAGAAGAATTATTCAAAGATATATCTTGTGTCCTTTCTGATCTTTCATTACTTCACAAGGGCTTAAAGGAATGTTACGAAGCTGAAGAATCTGAAAGGAGTAATATTGAGTCTTCTATTGGAAAATATCATGAACTTGCCACGAAAGTTCAAGGCATGTGCAAATCACTAAGAGTGAGCCTGGATCAGCACATATTCAGGGAAGAACTTGAACTGTGGCCACTTTTTGGCGAACATTTCTCTGTTGAGGAACAGGACAGGATTGTTGGCCGTATTATTGGGACTACTGGGGCTGAAGTTCTTCAGTCTATGCTTCCTTGGGTAACTTCTGCTCTAACTCAGGATGAGCAGAATAAAATGATTGACACTTTAAAGAAGGCAACAAAGAACACCATGTTTAGTGAGTGGCTTAATGAATGTTTGAGGAGAACTCCTGAAATATCTGTCCTGCCTGAAACATCGCAAAATAGCAATATTAGCAAAGGTTAGTAGTCTGTTCTCATAACTGAGTTGTTGCTTTAGAAAAACTAGCTACAGTTCAATCTACTGCTAAAGTGCTAAGGACCAATTATATTCAAAAGTCACACATTACATGATTTCTATTTTTTCAAAACTTAGGTATTGATGCTCATGAAAGCTTGGACCAGAGTGATTTGATGTTCAAACCTGGATGGAAAGACATTTTCCGCATGAACCAAACTGAAATTGAGTCAGAAATTAGGAAGGTTCATAGGGACTCAACTCTTGATCCAAGAAGAAAGGCATATTTGATTCAAAATCTTATGACCAGGTGAATTGCCATTTTGAGTTTAGCAAAATTTTTCATTTTTGTTTTATTTGATAGCTACAACAGTATAATCAGTATTGTATTTTGGTCAGTAAGCCACGTACTAACCAGTTCTGTATTTTGCCAGCCGTTGGATAGCCTCTCAACAAAAATCACAAGCATCAATAGATGACATTTCTCGTTCTGAAGACTTGGCTGGATGCTCTCCATCATTTCGAGATCCAGAGAAACAAGTTTTTGGATGTGAACATTACAAGAGAAACTGTAAACTTCGTGCAGCTTGCTGTGGCAAATTGGTTGCATGCAGATTTTGCCATGATGAAGTGAGTGACCACTCAATGGACAGGTAAGCTAGAAATACAAATACAGATGTCCAATGGTTTAGTGCTTCAAGTTTGATTTTCATTAACTTTTACAGGAAAGCAACGGCAGAGATGATGTGCATGCGTTGCTTGAAGATTCAACCAATTGGACCAATTTGCATGACACCATCATGCAATGGATTTTCTATGGCAAAATACTATTGTAGCATTTGCAAGTTCTTTGATGATGAGAGGTAGATGAGTGAATTTTGTTATATATGGTGTTGCTTGAATTCCAGTTGATCATACTGTTTTCTGTTGACTCTATTAAGTGTTGCAAAATATCTTGTACCATAGAATGAATTTCAGTTGCTTTATAACTATATTAGAAACTGTGGAATCATTTTGCATTTTGACCTTTGAGTAAATAAATACTTAGCTAGTAATAAAAATTTATTACTACTTCACTTTTATTTTGCTTGTAACACTATACTTCTGGGCACATTTTTTCTAACCACAGTTTTTTCTTGTTTGCTACAGGTCAGTATATCACTGCCCATCATGCAACTTATGCCGTCTTGGGAAGGGACTTGGAATTGATTTCTATCATTGCATGAAATGCAACTGCTGTTTGGGAATAAATTCGGTCGAGCACAAATGCTTGGAGAAGGCTCTGGAAACAAATTGTCCGATCTGTTGTGAATTCTTGTTTACTTCTAGTGCGACAGTGAGACCTCTACCTTGCGGACATTACATGCACTCAGCTTGCTTTCAGGTTTAAAAAATTATTGCCTTATATGTTCATTTTCTGCTAATATTGTTCTCATATTTTTTTCTTTGACAAAGAAGAAATTTGGAGAATTGTTATAACCTAAACTTTGACCAACCTTGTGTTTTTGATATCTAGGCATATGCCTCCAGTAACTACATTTGTCCAATATGCAGCAAATCAATGGGTAATATGGCGGTAAGAAAAAAATCTAGTTCTATACATATATTCAAGTTAATCATCTCTCTATTTTCACTAATCCTCTTAACGCTTTTCTTCTATGCCAGATATATTTTGGCATGATTGATGCTTTGCTGGCCAATGAGGTTCTTCCAGAGGAATACAGGAACCGTCAGCAGGTTTGGTTTCTTACTGTTCCTGATGCCTATCTTTTCTTATTTAGTTGTTTGTGGCATATAGTAAGGAAATATTCTCCCCACCCATTCTCTGCCAAAAGCACTTTTCTCCCACAATTGTCTTGCTCTGTTGTGTGTGTCCGTGATCTGCTTTGCTCATGGTAAAATGCAAAAGTATCATTCCATGCTGTCATCTAGTGTTAATCAAACCTTAACTGCAAATGTAGGATATCCTTTGCAATGATTGTGAACGGAAAGGAATGGCGTGCTTCCACTGGCTATATCACAAATGTGGATACTGTGGCTCTTACAACACGAGAGTCATTAAGACCGATAGTGATTGCTCTACCTCGAGCTAGTAAGAATCACCAACCTTTGCCCGTTACAAGATCCCATTCCTTCCTGCTGTAAATAGTGTACAGATATCTGGTTTAGACTTCCCCCATAATGTCAATATGCAACCAAGAGCGTAGCTATTACAACGTCTGCGGACTGCAATTTCAGCAACATTGCAATTTTTGGAGATAATAGATAGGTGCATCATTTTATATAGGTTCCATTTCATTTGTTCAGACAAATGCTGTATCACTCCCCCCACGCCCCCCCCCCCCCCCCCCCCCTCCTTTCAGGTCCACGATGTTATATTTTTGGTTTGTTCCTTCTGCTGGTTTTTGGTTGCACAAAAGGAACCCAACCTCGTAGCCGTAGGCAAGTGTTGGTTTCTGTTCCTGGTTCTGGCCTGCTTTCAATTCTGGGGTTCTAAGCATGTTATTTATATGTTCTGCACATCGGAAAATAAAATGGATTATCATAAATTTACAAATCAGCTTGATTTTAGAGTGTGTTTGGTTCATTAGTTATGAGAATTAAAATCATAGTTAGTATTTAGTTGACAAATTCTTAAAACACAACTATGAGGTTTGATCATCTCTTAAATTAAAAGTTTCATTCAGATATCATTTCATCTTATATTTTTAAGTTGGGATTAATGTTTTTAGATTTTTTTTTAGATTTTTCTTTTGGGTTCACATTCCAGTCTAATCTTACTATCAAGCATGTAAAATATGTTTACTAAAATTTATACTATTACAAAGTATTTGATTCCTATTTTGATTTTGATTCTCATGTGCAAATCAAACACACCCTTAATTTCTATTATCAATAATTAGATACAAAGCCAGTCTTTCTTACAACATTGTCCATGCTTGAAATAACCAATCAAATGCCGTTAGGGATTGAGTGTCAATGAATTGGCTAACTTCACTACTAAATAAAAAATAAATCTAACTACTAATAATATAATGCCACATTGAGTGGAGTTATTAAATGAGTTAATTCATTTTTTGTTTTAGATTTATAGGTGACAGTTCATTATTAGTTCTTTTTTATCAGAACGTCCTCTTTTGGTCTTAGTATTATTGTGACATGATTAATTTTGGTCATTTATCAACAAAATCGTTGAAATTTCGTTAAATAAAAGAACATTTTGATCTTTTTTAATGCAAAGTGCATTGATTTGTTATATTTTGTATGTTTATCTTTTTTGAAAAATTCATAATTGAATATCAAAATGCTCTTGTATTTAATAAAATTCTAACTATTTTTTTTTTATAGAGGACCAAAATTGATCATGCCAGAATAATACTAGGACCAAAAGGAGCTGTTTTGAAAAAAAAGGAGTAAAAGTGGACTGTCACTTATAAATTTAGGATAAAAAATAAAATTAACTCAGAAAATAAAGGAAGGGTTTATAACATTACTTTTTAGGGAAAGGTATAAATAGGCCATTAAGTATTGATGTTTTCTCTCGCTACGTTCGCGAGTTTGGCTAGGGTTTTCTAGGGTTTACGTGACTCAGGTGATCGGCCGACAAACTATGGCGACGTCAACGTCGGGTATGGCTGCCGAAACGGCGGATGAAGTTGCGGATCAATGCGCTAATCTTGTATTAGCGGATGTGGATGATGAAGAGTTCATTGTGCGAGTGCCGGACCATTCTGGCGATCAAGGTGTAGACGACGACACCTATTATGCAGTAGGGAGGCTTCTCACGAATAGACCAGTGCGGTTTGCTTTCTTTCAAGACACTATGGCTGGTGTTTGGCAGCCTGCTATGGGGGTGAATATGAGGGAGTTGCAACCCCGGAAATTTCTTTTCCGTTTCTATCATGAAGGGGACCTGGATAGGATCATTAGTGAAGGGCCATGGGCATTTGATCAAAGCCTGTTGGTTATGCAGAGGGTGACCCGCGGTATGGACCCCGAGATGGTGCCACTTACGCATGCGGACTTCTGGATTCAAATGCATAACTTGCCAGTAGGATATCGTTCGGATGCTGTGGTGAGAGCAGTTGGGGCGTGCTTGGGTACGGTTGTGCAGACCGATGAACGGAATTTCGATGGGGCGATGCGCTCATTCTATCGTGTTCGAGTCGCTCTTGATGTTGCAAAGCTATTGAAAAGGCAGTTGAAGCTGAAGCGGGATGATGGTGGTTGGTCGCACATTGATTTCCGATATGAGCGCTTGCCAACCTTCTGTTTTCTGTGCGGAATGATCGGACATGGTGACAAGTGGTGTCGCCTAGCGCTAGACCGGACTGTTCTATCTGCTGAGAAGCTGTATGGAGCTTGGCTCAGGGCTAGTGCAAGGAGGGGTGCTCCAACACAGAACCAATGCTGGATACCATCGCAGTCGACTGCCGAGCGGAGAAATTGGAAGTCTCCTGTGATGGGTGACTCTCACGGCGGGGGTATTGGTAACCAGGGGGAACAGATTGTTTTGGAGACAGTGGTTAGTGGGGAGTTAAAACGCCGGCGTGTTGAGGGTGAGGAGCGTGGTGCAGGAGCGAATATGGATTGCGATACTTCAGCTTCAAAAAACTACTTGGGGGCGGGTCTTGCGGCGCAGACCCGCCAAGAATCATGAGCCTGATATTTTGGAATTGCCGGGGGCTTGGCAACCAGTCGGCAATTCGGGTATTAGCGGATTTGATCCGCTCGAAGAGGCCTAGCATTGTTTTTCTAATGGAGACGTTTGTGGATAAGCAGAGGATGGAGACGGTGCGGGTGGAATTGCGTTTTGATAATGTTTTCACGGTGGAGGCGGTGGGGCATCGTGGTGGTTTGGCAGTAATGTGGATGAACTCGGTCGACCTGAGTGTTACTGGGTTTTTATCAAACCATATAGACGCTGAGATCACCTTGGATGTGGGGAACCCAACTTGGCGTTTTACGGGATTTTATGGACCCTCTTGAAGTCATCGGCGTAGGGAGGCTTGGCAACTCCTTCGGACTTTAGCATCGCGGAGTTCGCTTCCGTGGTTGATCATGGGTGACTTCAATGATATCCTTGATCAAACTTAGAAACGTGGGCAGCTTCTACACCCGGAGTGGATGTTAAGAGGTTTTAGAGCTGTGGTGGATGATTGTGGCCTGGTGGATGTCCCTTTTGATGGGTACCAATATACGTGGAACAGGTTTCGGGGCACTGACCGGATGGTGGAGGAGAAGATAGACCGCATTATGGCTTCGGAGGATTGGTTGATTATGTTCGAGGGTGTTACTGCACAGTCTTTAACAGTTCCGTATAGTGACCATTTGCCTTTGCAGTTAACGCCAGTAGTAGTGCCACGTGTGTATAGGCGGCCAAGGTTCTGTTTTGACAATGCTTGGCTGCGGGAAGATGCTTGCAGGGAGATAGTGACGCAGAGTTGGGTTCGGACGGCAGGGATGGATACTGTAACGAGGGTACACGAGTGTGCTCGGGATATTGGGAGGTGGGGCAGACATTATAATAAGAATTTTCAACGGAGAATTGAGCAATGCAAACGTCGTATTGAGGTCCTGAGGCCGCGCCGAGATGTTGCTAGTATGATTGAGTATGTTGCAGTTGAGAAGGAATTGTTATATTTGCTAGAACAACAGAGCATTTATTGGAAGCAGCGGGCAAAAGAACACTGGTACAAGGGAGGGGATGCAAATAGTAAATTTTTCCATAATTCTGTTAAGGCCCGTCGCAGGAGGAATAGGATCAGGAGGCTGCGGGATGATGGTGGTGACTGGGTGGATGATGAACAGGGCCTGGGTCAGCTAATGGTGTCTTATTTTGAAGGATTGTTTGCCCCGGATAATGGTGAAATGCAGGAGGTTATTGATGCGGTGGCGGAGAAGGTAACTGACCGTGACAACACTCTTTTGTTGCGACCCCTTAACATGGAGGAGGTACGAACTGCAGTTTTCCAGATGCATCCCGACAAGTCACCTGGGCCGGATGGCTTCGGTCCGGGGTTTTTCTAGCACTATTGGGACATAGTCGGAGGGGAGGTATGGTATTTCTGTAAGCTTTTTCTTGATACTGCTAATCTCCCTAATCGGGCTTCAGAAACTTTTATTGTTCTTATTCCTAAGAAGCTGCACCCGGAATCTATGAGGGATCTCCGTCCAATCGCTTTATGTAATGTTGTTTATAAGATAGCTGCAAAAGTATGTGCTAATAGGATGAAGAATATGCTACAGAAGCTGATCTCGCCTGCACAAAGTGCTTTCATACCCGGCTGGCTCATTTCCGATAATATTATGTTAGCTTTTGAAGCTCACCACTTTTTGAAACGGAAGACAAGGGGTCGGGATGGGGTTGTGGCACTGAAGTTGGACATGTCGAAGGCGTACGATCGGGTGGAATGGGGGTTCTTACAGGCAGTAATGGTTAAACTGGGTTTTGACAGGCGGTGGATTAACATTATTATGCATACTGTGACTTCAGTCCGTTATCATGTGTTACATGATCAGAAGCAGTTGGGTCCTATTATCCCGGGAAGGGGTCTTCGACAAGGTGATCCGCTCTCGCCTTATTTATTTCTGTTTGTCACGAAAGGCTTGAGTGCATTACTAGAGAAACGGATGGCCGAGGGTCAGTTGCATGGTATCACGGTTGCACGGGGTGCACCCTCTATTTCGCACCTCCTATTTGCGGACGATTGTTTTTTGTTCCACCGTGCAACTGTGGACGAGAGTGCGCACATGAGGTATGTATTAGATATTTATTCACAGGCTTCTGGGCAGTATGTTAATTACGATAAGTCTGCAGCATGTTTTAGTACGAATGTTCAGCAGAATGTTCGAAATGAGGTTGTGGACATCTTAGGTGTCGAGGAGGGTGATACGAGTGGGAGGTATTTGGTGCTGCCGTCCCTTGTTGGCAGGCGGAAAAAGGCTATTCTATCCTTTGTTAAGGACCGTATTTTGTCGAGGATCAAATCGTGGAATGTGAGGAATCTGTCTAGGGCGGGAAGGGAGGTGTTGTTGAAGAATGTAGTTCAGGCAATTCCCACGTACGCAATGATGATTTTTTTGTTACCCCTTGGGCTCTGTCGTGAGATTGAAACTGTGATGAATCAGTACTGGTGGACGGGCAGAGTTGGAGGAGGCCGTGGTATAAGGTGGCGTGCTTGGGATGACCTATGCTCGCCGAAGTCGTGTGGTGGGCTTGGGTATCGCCGGTTGCATGATATGAATAAAGCATTGCTTGGGAAGCAAGCCTGACGTTTGGTAACTATGTCCACATCGCTGGTTGCCCGCGTTTATAAGGCCCGTTATTACCCAGACTGTGATTATTTTAGTGCGAAGGAGGGGTCTAATCCCTCGTATATATGGAGGGGTATGCTTGCGGTACAAGGAATGATGAGGGAGGGCTGTAGAAGGGTAGTGGGTGCTGGAACAGATATTATAATTGGCAGGGATCCGTGGTTGCCAGATGATCAAAACCCCTATGTCGCAACGGAGTTGCACCAGTCTGTCTTTGATGCTCCTGTTGCGTCGTTATTTGACCCCCAAGGTACCACTTGGGATGTTCATTGTGTTCGTGATATTTTTGATCCTCATGATGCTAATCTTATTTTGAATATTCCTATCAGTTTGAGGAAGCCACAGGATCGTTGGGCTTGGCACTGGGACGAGAAGGGCATGTATACTGTCAAGTCCTGTTACAAGCATTTGACATTCACGCAGGCTGATGGAAAACCATGGTTAAGGTTATGGAATTTACATGTTCCCCCCAAGGTAAAGTGTTTTGGGTGGCAGCTAGCTTCGGCTTATCTCCCTACACGTGACGCTTTGCGCTCTAAAAATGTTCACTGTGGGTTGGATTGTTACATGTGCAGGTCGTCTGTTGAGTCTGCGCTACATATTTTTGCTAACTGTGTGGAAGCAAAACGGATTTGGACTAATATGGGGCTGCCGCACTTATGTTTATATTCTGGTAATAATATAACGGACTGGTTTTTTTTGGTGTTTGAGTTCTTTGGATAATGCTAAGTTGCCTTATTTTGTAATGGCTTGCTGGGCTATTTGGACAGGGAGAAACGATAGTGTGTGGAATGGTGTTGTGTTTAACTCAAGTGTGCTCATCCAAACGGCTTTTAGTTTTTTGGAGGGGTGGTTGAGTGCAAATGCGATGGGGATTCAGCATGGTGTTGTTGATCCTGTGGTGCGCTGGTTGAAGCCACGGCAAGGGTGGTATAAACTGAACTCGGATGCTTCTTTGGATAATGGTAAGAACCGTATGGGGCTGGGCTGGGTGATGCGCGATGATCAGGGGAAGTTTATGGCTGCCAAGAATACGATTGTTGATGGGTTTTACCGGGTGAAGGAGGCCGAGGCCATGGGACTGCGGGAAACTTTGAGTTGGTTGAGAGGCACCGGCATGGGAGGGGTGGAGGTTGAAGTGGATTCACAAGTACTTTTTCATGCCATTTGTTCTGCTCCTTTTAATTCTGCTTTTGGTTTACTGGTAGAAGATATTAAAAATTTAGCATCCTGCATAGGTGATGTTGAATTTAATTGTATTAGGCGATCTGTGAATAGTGCAGCCCATACTCTTGCTAGGGCGGCCTTTTCTTTGTCAGATTGCGGGGAGTGGTTAGATACACCACCTTCTTTTCTTGTAAACATTCTTGAAGCTGATTTGATGAATTAATTCCTTTTTCACAAAAAAAAAAAAAAACTATTTGAGGATAACAATTAAGCCATCGAACTCAAATAAGCTCCAAATTGATTTATGAACCTGCAAAAAAAGTGCAATTAGCATTTTTAGTAGGTTATCAACAAGTTTGTGATGATTAGGACACCATGTGTATTTTTTATTTATTTATTTTTTATTATTATTATTATTATTATTATTACTACTACTGCTGCTGCTGCTGCTGCTGCTGCTGCTACTACTACTACTGCTACTACTACTATGAACCTCCCAGTATGTTTATCAATAACTATACAATTTATAACGACTTTGAACCTCCCTGTTACAATTAAAATCATTCCATAGAACACTTGTCCAACAAATTAAAATTCATTATTAAACAAGTCAAAACCACTAATCTAGAAATATACATTTATTATTTACAACATATTTAGTCTATGAAATTGGTTAGGAATGAAATAACGTTATTGGGAATAAATTTAAGGGGAAAGATATAAATATGCCATTGAACTATTGAGGGGATATCAATTAAGCACTGAACTCGAATAAGCTCCAAATTCATCCATGAATATGAAAAAAAAAGTACAATTAGTATTTTTAACAGGTTAAAAACTTGTTTGAGTTGCCATGTGTATATTTTATTTTAATATTTTTACTTTAAACTTTATCAAAGTCATAATATACTTCCATCATACTATACACAAATTCTCAAAACAGAAAACTTTAGCTACATGGGCATCAACATTATTTCATAATACAATACTTTCAAAAGCTCAAATCATTCCTTAACATATGACTCATTGGCAACCTACAACCCCCATTATATCGTGTGACACATGCCATTATCAGTATAATGGTCCAAAAAGACTCGACGATTTGGAATGAGTCAGACTCGACTTTTAAGAATGAGCCGGATGGAACGTTCCAACAAATAATTCAAAGGATTTGATGATTCGGATGAGTCAAGCTCGGCGATTCGAAATGAGCAATTAGGAACGTTCCAAGCCGAACAGAACAAACAACAAAATGTAAATTGCCTCATGAGTTTTACCAAACATTCAAAATAATTCCTATAGTCAAATAGCCCACTGTAGCAAAAATCATTTCCTTAAAAACCACATAACAAAGTACATATCCAAAAGTGATATGAAATCATAAACTAATAATTGTCACCTAAATTACTTGATCCTCTTTTAGAGCGAAACACCTTAGTACAAATCATACCCATAAATCGAATAATAGTGAAATCACACTTTAACAATCATAACTAGCTTGAGTCATATTATATCAAAAGCCCAAAATATTTTAATTCATACTAACCCTAAGTATTCAAAGTAGTAGAGATTCCAAAATAGGTTATGAGTTTTGCAAAATAAGGAGAGAAAGAGTTAACCACTTACCTAGAACATCCAAATCTTAGCTAATTAGCTCACCCAAATACTCCTTATTAAATCCTTAATATTTTCAAACATCAAGCATGTAAGTCTTTGTAATCATTCCTAAACAATATGCAACCGTTAGGGCAAGCATGTATCTTTCTATATCCCATACCCATGGGACACAAAATCTTCGGAAGTTCATTACCATCTGGAAGCATATCTTTTAATATTTCAAGTAACGCAATGAGGCTCTTGTCGCTCCACCCATTCCCAACTTTCAAGTTGAATAATTTTAATACAACAGATAATCAGGTATATTTACTACACCCCGGCCACAAAGGTTGTTTTGAATTATTCAATAATTCATCCAACTCATTTGACCGATCGGTAAAATCTTCTCCAACATTTCATCCAACCGCTCTTCGGACTCATCATTTTCATTTGCTTCGTTGTCAACATACATGTTACATGTTATAGCCACATCGCTTTCACCGTGCCATATCCATTTTGTATAATATGGATTAATCCCATTACAGATTAGATCATCAAATATGTCGTCTTCACATAATCTTTTCTAATTACAACACTTCTTATAAGGACAAAAGAACCTCTCATTACTATTCGGAAGGTTATTCTTTGCAAAATCTAAACATTTTCTAACTTCGTCTTCGTATTCCTTACTAATTCGAGAAGCATTCATCCAACTTTTATCTAAGCCAGTCTAAAATAATATTAACCTTAATTAAATTTTGTTAACACTAATTCAAAAAATTTCTATAATAATAATAAACAAAAATAATTTAAACATAGACCACAGTGTGGCTAATCACCGAATGCACAAGAAAAAGCCGAAAACATAAATAAACATAGACCACAATGTGGCTAATCACCGGATGCACTAGGGAAAGATGAAAGTTTGTAAAAAAAAAAAGATAAAGATTTTTACCTCAAGATAAATTTGTCCACGTTGATATACAATCCTTAGTTCAATCTAAACATCTACCTACAAGTTAAATTTGTAAATTAATATACAAAATGGATATTGTCTAACAAAGTAGGTAATTTGAGTGAATAATAAAATTTCTAAAATTTGAAATATATACTAACATGCGAAATATATAAACAATAATTTATAAATCAAAATACACACATAATAATTCATAAAATTTGAAATATATACACAATAATTTATAAAATTAACCATATATACACAATAATTCATAAAATTCAATATATATTCAAAATAATTCCAAATATTCAACATATATGCACAACAATTCATAAAATGCGAAATATATAGACAATAATTTATAAAATCAAAATATCTACATAATAATTCATAAAATTTAAAATATATAGACAATATTTCCTAAAATTCAAAATATATAGACAATAATTTATAAAATTCAACGTATATGCACAATAATTCATAAAACTCGAAATATATATACAATATTTCCTAAAATTCAAAATATATATATATATATATATATATAAAAACACCTAAACTTCAAAATTTATACACAATAATTCAAAAAATATGAAATATATATAAAGTAATTCGTAAAATTCGAAACATATATATATATATATATATATATATATATATATATATAATAATTCATACAATACAAAATAACTCATAAAAATCAAATTATATATACATAATAATTTCTAAAATTCAAAAATATATTAAAAACTTATTCCAAATATATTGAAATAATTATTTTTACTTACCCACGGTGGAGTGGGAGTGGCGGTGACGCGGCAGAGGCGGTGGCACGACAGTGGTGGTGGGACGACAGTTGTGGTGGCGGACGGTGGAGTACGTAGAAGTAGCGGACGGTGGAGTGGAAGACGCGGTGGTGCGGTAGTTGTAGGTGTTGTGTGGAGAAGAAGAACAAAATGGTGTTGGTGCGGCGGCGGTGGGTGTTGTACGAAGAAATTAAGAGAAATGGCGTGGTGCAGCGTAGTGGTGGCGGCTGAAGAAGAAATGGTGTGGTGTGGTGGCTGAAGAGATGGAGAGAAATGGAGAGAAGATGGGCTAAATCCTGCAGGGTTCTCTTTTAAAAATTAGACCCTATGACGTCGGTTATTCATATAATAGACGTCGTATCATTATTATTATTTTTTTTAATTTTTTGTGATACGACGTCAGTTATATGAATAACCGACGTCGTATTTAATAATATATTTTTTATTTTATAAATACGACGTCTGTTAATCAACTAAACGACGTCGTATAATCAAATTTAAAAAAAGATTTTTTTTTTAAATTATATACGACGTCTTATAATAAAATTAAAAAAATATTTATTATTTATGACGTTGGTTAAACCAACGTCGTATATATATATATATATATATATATATATATATATATATATATATATATATATATATAATTTTACCATACAACATTGATTTTCTTATAAAACCGACGGCGTATTGTAAATTTTTTTTTTAAATTACTGAGTATAATTTTATTTATTGTTTTGACGTCAGTTTTCCAAAAAGCTGACATTATAAATGATACATTATATGTTATTTTTGTAGTAGTGAAAACTCGTGCAAGAAGTAATTGGCAAGAATTGTACTAGCTTGTAACTTTCATTTATGAGAATTATGCTCTACTCATTTGGCCACCTCTTTTTGTCTTTTTTTTTTTTCTTTAAAACACTTTTTGTTTGGTAGGTCCGATGGAATAGTGAAAAAAAGGTATTTTTAAAAAAATATGCCAACCACTTAATGATCTCAGCAGTCATATGCAATTGCACACCAATGCTATGCAGTGTTGGTGTGCACACGTACACCGGTGAATTTTTATAAAAAGATTTTTTTTTTTCCGTAAAATTCAAGAAACGGTTTTTCTTTTATTTTTGAACAGAAAATTTAAAAATAAATAAATTATGTTTTGTAATAAATCTCCTCCCTTCTCTCTGTTGAGCATATTTCCATTAATATGCAATTCAACTATTAGCTTACGCTTTTAGTTGAGATGGAGCACATGCTTCAATTACACGTGAGGGGGCGTGTAGCATATTACAATTAATGTGCAATCCAACTATCAGCTTAGTCTTTTAATTGGGATGGAGTACATGCTTCAATTTTCCCCCTGTTTTGGGTAGTTTTCTTATATAATTTTTTTTATTGTTATTATTATTTTTTTAATGTTGAGTCGACGAGAGAGAATAAGTATTAAAAATATACATGGCAGCACCCCAATCCTTATACCGTGCACCACGACTCACATACCAAATTACCAATGTGCGCCCCGCGCCTCTCAAGACGACGTCGTTTTGTTAAGTTGTGTGGGGAGTTGATGCGACAAATTGTATGTGTATTCTGTGTACATTGTGTTATACAATTATGTACATTATGTTATACAATTATGTACATCCGAAACAGAGAATTTTTTATAAGAGTTAAAAGTTTATGTGTATTATCACTATTATGTTAAGAGTTTATGTGTATTATGTATTATGTTAGATTATGTGTATTATCTTTTCAAAAAAGAGTATGTGTATTCTGTTATACAATTGTGTACATTCTGTTATTTAATTATGTACATTTTATTATACAATTATGTACATTTTTGAAACATGATAATTTTTTTTAAGAAGTTAACATCGGACACAGAAAGCGAAATTTCCACACAAAAAAGGGTACAAAACGACGTTGTTTTGCACCAGGCCGGGCGCCCGATATAAATTGCCGCAGCACCCAATTCCCTTAGCATGCGCCACATGCTAGAGAGTGTTAGTGCCCACTAATGCGCACCATGCATAGCCTCTGGTTTTCCGAAACAGCCATTACTCGTCCCAAAGAAACAAGAACTTCGATCCCTGCGTTTATACTATCTAGAAATTGTGAGAATTGAGAGAGAAAGAGAGGAGCCTAATCCGACAACACGGCCGCTTCACAACTTCACATTGCCCTCGTGCCTCAAATGGGGTCACCAGAAACACCTCCATTGTATGAAGCTCGGCAATTCTTCCAGTGATCACCCCGAGGAGGACGACGGTAGCAATCAGGTGCAGCAAATTTCTCCGATTAATGTCCCGTTGTACGACGACGATATAGAGAAGCTAATGATTGATCTCCGTGCAGCTGTCGTGCACACCGGAGAAAGGGAAAGGCCGCACAATGGTGATAAGAAAACCTCTTAGGAGGAGGACTCCACCCCCGCTACCGCCTGCCCGTGGATTTTGCATAATCGCGGAGTGAACTTATCACTGCCACAGAAGAGTAAGTGAACTTAGCACTGCGATAGAAGAGTAAGTTTTCAATCGCTCTCTCCAGAGAAGAGATTGAAGCTTATTTCACTGCCATTACTAGTGTCAAACCACCCAGAAAACCCAAGAAAAGGCCCATAGTTATTCAGAAGGGTCATTATATTGTGGACCGTGGTGCACGTGCACCACGGTCAAAACAACGCCGTTTCTTTAAGTAAAGAGACGGTGCGCCGTTACTGTTAACAGAGCGCGCATTTTTTGGTGTGTCAATTACCAACTGAAATTACAGTATATCTAAACTGACACTACAATGTATCTAAACCGACACTGCCTCATGTATTATTTTATATATTATCAAATGAAACTGCAATTATATCAAAATGATACTGTAGTTGTGGTGAAAGAAATTGCAGTGTATATAAAATGAATCTGAATAACATTTCACATATTTGAGTGTATATTGTGCAATGAAGCTGTAGTTATATTAAAATGATCATGTAGTTGTGTTTTAATGAAACTATACTGTATATAAAATAAAATTAAATAACATTTTCACATATTTGTGTGTATAAATATCGAATAGAACTGTAGTTATATCGAAATGAAACTATAGTCTTGTTGAATTGAAACTGCAGTGTATACAAAATGAAACTGAATAACATAGTTACTTTTTGCGGAACGACGCGGAACGACGCAAAACGGGTGCCGTTTCTTTTCATTAAAAAAAACGACGTCATTTTGAAGCTCGGTGCATAATCAATTATGCACCGCGGTGCATGATATAATTTGCCTATTCAGAAGGAGATTGATGTATTTAAAAGCCTTAATTAAAAGATTCTAATTTTCACCATTTCTCACCTCAATTCTAATAATAACTAATCCGGTTCTCTCTGGATTCTTGCCAGATCTTTTCCGAGGCTAGTGTTTGATGGAGATTGTAAACACAAAAAGTAAACTTTGTATATATTCACAAAATTCCTTGTACAGTGTATGTATAATTCAATATGCAGGGACAAAAATCTCTGTCTAGTCCTCTGATTCTTCACTGACGTTATCTATTGAAGTGCCTCCGGGATTCAAATAGCATAGCCTTTGGGATTCAATTGGCGCGTGCTTCCTGGATTCAAGTGGCGTAGCTTCCGGGATTCAAGTGGCGTGACTTTCAACAACGAATGTCAAGAATTTAGAAATAATCAACCCTGCAACGTTTCAAAACACATGCAATGGATTCAAGTTGCCTTAAGATCCTCAAATGCCTTCAAAAGACTTCAAGATCTTCGAGACAATCAATTCTGCAAAGCTCCAAAGTACCTGCAATGGATTCAAGTTGCCTGCAAAATATTCAAAAGATGCCTTCAAGCGTTCTTCAATGCCTTCAAGCTCTGCAAATGCTCTCAACTCCTCAAATCTTCAAGTGCGTTTTGGAATGAAAATGAAGGCTCTATTTATAGTAAGAGCCTAACCAACATTTCTCAACAAACTCCCCCTTTAATTAATTAATTAATTATACTAGAAAATGAACCTTGCCCTGAATCAAGTCCAGGTTCATTATTGTATAATCTAATTCAAATTCAAATTAAATTATAATTATCTAATTCAAATATAATAAAATATTATATTTAAATTATAATCATAATTTATAATTCAAATTCAAATATGAAATGGGCTTGGGCCAATTAATTAATTAATTCAATAGCCCAAATCTTATTTAATTGGACTAATTAAATCAATTTAATTTCTATGATCCAATTAATTAAATTGGCCCAATAATCAATCCCGATGTCGGTCCAATAACCATTTATCAGTCCATTTGTTGTGTTCAAATTTTCTGTGCCTACAGAGATCACTCCGGATAAATATAAGTGAATCTCTTCTCTAGTTTGTTTGCCAGATTTTCACCATTAAAGCTTTCGAGTCTCTTCTCTAGCTTGTTTGAATTTTCAGTGATGTTTTTCCTGCTATCATTGTCGTATCTCAGTTGCACTTATATTCTTGCTTATACAGAGATTCCATTATATTCTTCTTCTTAGACTTTGTTATGTTATACCGTGTGGTGTGGACCATGATTATCTTATCTAGACCAGAGGGGTTAATTAACTATACTCCACCTTTGAGAAAATGGAAGTATGAGATGTCAAGAACACGTACAATATATTTTATGAAATGCCTCTTAGGAACTCATGAGTCATGAGAATATCCATGTGTGTCCTAAGGGAATGGAATGCTTTTGGATCGCACTATACCGGCACTAAGACTTGAGCAACTGTTTGTTGGCAAGAATTGTATCTGTGACTTTTAGGTAAGAGAATTATGCTCTACTCACTTGGCCATCTCTTTTGGAGTAGGTTTTTTTTTTTTTTTTTGGTAAATCCAGTGGAAGAGTGAGAAAAAGTTATTAAAATACATGGAACTCACTTAATGTTCTCAGTAAGCGCGTACACTAAATGCGCCTGCTATGTAGTGGTGGTGCATAAACGCGCGCCAATGACAAGAATCTACCAAAATGCGTGCTTTCCTGTGCCGGCACTAACACTCAACCACTTAGCATGGTCACCACCCAATGCTCTTAAGTGATGAATTTAATGTTTTTAGAGTGCACTGTGCCCGCACTAACACTCAACCAATACGTTTTTTATCAGAATTATATTGTACCTTTGACTTTTAGGTACAAGAATTATGCCCTCACTTTGCCACCACTTTTAGGTTAGGTTTTTTTTTTTTTTTTTTTTTTTTTTTTTTTTTTTTTTTTTTAAATTACTTTTTTTGGTAGTTCCTGTTGAGGAGTGAGATAAAGGTATTTTAAAAAACATGCAATCCAATTAATGTTCTTAGCAAACTTGTGCAGTGCAGTTCTGGTGCACATATAGTTTCTTTCCTTTTTTATTTTATTTTTTTCAGTAAAAATCCAGAAAATGCTTTTTTCTTACACAGTGGCCCTCAAAATTTAGAAAAATTTATATTTTGTAATAAATCTCCTCCCCTCCTCTCCCCTCCCCTCTTGGGTAGTTTTGTTTCATTTATTTTGTATTTTTTTATTATTTTGTGTTTTTCTAATATCAAGTCGACGAGAGAGAAAAAGTATTAAAAAAGTATATGACAAAACCGGATGCCCTTAGCATGCGCATCCAGTGTTAGTGTCCACTAATGCACACCAATGCCTTTTAAATTTTTATATATTTTTATTTAATTGGAAGAGAATTACGTGAATAATGAATTAATGAAGCAAATTAAACTCAATGATGAGAATATTTATTGGGAATAACATCCTTTCACACTCTAACTCTTCTCAAATCTTAACCACCCTTCCCCCTTGGCTCAATTTTCATTATCATGTGTGCCAAAAAAGTTATGAATTTATGTTTTCAAAAAAAAAAAAGTTAAGAATTTAATGTTATTAGAGCGCACAACACTGCACTAAGACTCCAACAAGTGGTTGTTAGCACGGATTGTACTTTTGACTTTCATGTATGAGAATTATGCTCTATTCACTTGGTCACCCTTTTCGGGTTGGTTTTTTATAACACTTTTTTGGTAGGTCCAATTGAATATTGATAAAAACGCATTAAAAAGAAAACATGGCAACCACTTAATGGTCTCAGTAGGTGCATGCAAGTGCACATGCATGCTATGCAGTGTTAGTGTGCACACTTAGCTTACACGTACCATTGACATTTTTTTCTTTTTCTGTAAAATTCAGAGAACCAATTTTTCTTTAACTTTTGCGCAGAATATTAGAAAAAATGTATGCTTTGCAATAAACTTCTTCTCATTCCCTCTTCTGCAAGGATATTAGTCTAGTCAATGAGAAGTCTCACTTATTATTTTTTTCCAGTCGTAAGATGAGATTCGATTCTTGTCGTTTAGGGGTTGGACATACCTTATACGAAGCCAAAACCCAAGGGTTTTGAAAAGAGTAATTGACAAAAAAAATCTTCCCTCTGTTTGTTTTTAGGGATATAAATCAAATGAGAACCCAATGGAAACAACAACCCCTAACTCCACCCTGTTAGATAATAAACTGACTAACATAACTGTAGTAAACGAGTAACTTGTCTCGTTACAGCGGAAGCTCTAGGACCGCCCGAATATCCCTAGCCATAGTCGTTGGTATTGCCACGAGATGGTAAACCTGCAGAATAAAGGTTAGTGTTTTGTCTACCACTTCTCTCCCGAATACCTGATGGTGTGTGTATTCTGAACACGGGAGCTGTGGGAGGACTCATTATGCTTAGAAGCCTACATGCCATCAACGTAGGCAGATATTCAATTAAAGCTTAACTGAATATCTTGAGTTGCCTAACAGACTAAGTCACTAACTGACTTAATATTCCACTTGCACCACAACCACTTAATTAATACAATATATTATAATATATTATATTAGGGAAAATACTTACATTCTCCCACTTGGTGCAAGCACTGGCACAACCTTCATTAAAGAACAAAGCACATGAACCATAGTAATACGTCCTCTACTGATCAAGTGAGTAGTACCTTATATGATCACATGTATTTAAATTCCATAACTTAGGTTCTTTATGAACAAACCCTATGTTTATTCTTAGTCCCTTAAGGGATGTTTCTCAAAATATATTATGTGCACAACTGAAGGAAGAAACCATCCAAATTCACTGCATAATCTCCAGAGTCTTTGAAGCATGCCTTAAGTAGAGATCTCTTAATGTTAGCATAATGCTAACTATATTCTATGACTTCTTTATAAGTTAACATAAACACTACCTCTAACGGCTAAGAGCTTGGAGTTGACACGTCTGTCACTCCCACTCATTTAGATAGCCAAAAGATAGTCAAGTCATAGAAACATTCCAATAACTTAGACAACAAACCAAAAGGTCTATGTCCATAATTTGGAATCGTAAACATACACCATGACTTCCCAAATAATCTCAAGGTCCACCTCGAAATTAATTGAATATTACGAGTCTTTATATGTCTTGCAAAATTGTTTTGAGCCTTACAAACCAAAATGGTCCAGGATCAATTTTGAAGAAACTAAAGACTCTATTAACTGCTAAAGAATTTATTAATTGACAGTGCACCACAAGTTAAATGCTTTCGTTCTAATAAATTCATTAATATTGTTACAACATTTTCATAAATATGTTGTACAACCAAACGTTCAATGAAATGAACTTATGAATTATAAGAACAAAAAACTAAATTAATACTTGTGGAAACTTTTGGACTTATTGTTAAACGCACAATCCGATTTGGAATGTATGAAAACAATTAAATCCATCAGCTTTAATGGAGTATTTTAATGATCTTTTTCTAAATGATCACTCCCACTGATTTAGATATTCTTTAGCCAAATTAATGATATAACACTCATAATTGATTTGACCAACTAAATAATGAAGATATAATTCCCCACCATTAGTTGAGCATACTAAATAATCAATATTTGGTTCCAATTATAGTCCAACTAAATGAATAATTAATGAGGACATGATTCTCCACCATAGTTGGACATACTAAAATAATAAAATAACGCCTTCCAAAACCAAGTTGGAATTTGGCTCAGAAGATATATTTTACTATTGGAATCCAAAAGAGGTATATCATACCACGCAACTTACTATAGTTAGTCCAAATAACCAAGTAAGCTTCGTGAAAGATAATTAATAAAAGGTGTATCTAAATTTTGGAAAGTGACTAAATACATATTTTGCCAATGCAAACCACGAAACTTAGAATTATAATTGAACTAAATTTATAAATTCTAAGAAATTGAGATAAAGTTATTATCTAATGAGTTGATGAATTTATTGACATAAAACTTGCCTGTGGGCTAAAGTTTTAAATCTATTAAATTCAATTAAACACTTATGATAGTATTTTATCCCAATTACTAAATAGTCAGAAGAATCTAGTGACATAAAACTTGCCTGTGGACTAAAGTTTTACTCAATAAGATCCAACTGAAACCAAGTGACATAAAACTTGCCTGTGGGCTGAAGTTTTAATTAAATTAGATTCATTACAACCATTATGACAAAAAAAAAAAAAAACTTAAGAGATCATGTTCCTTATCTTAATCCCTGTGGGCAAATTAAGATATATGACCTAAAGTTTACATCATAAAATTAAGCTTCATGATAGAGGTGAATCTTTATTCCTATCATCACTGATAAAACTACTAAACTGGGCTAAATTATGATCATAGTTCAGTATTTCATCCTAACTAATCATACAAATATAACGAAATTGCCTGTGGGCTAAATTCCATCATACTATATACAATTAATCACAATTGATATGTCTAAAACTTTATGTGACCCTAACAACTCAATATATAACTTTAACTGATTAAGGATGCTGTGGCTACTCCCCAACTAATTAAAATTATAAGATCACATGACATTTATCAAATTTTATGTGACCCAACAACTCAATATATAATTTTAACTGATTAAGGATGCTGTGGGAGGACTCATTATGCTTAGAAGCCTACATGCCATCAACGTAGGCAGATATTCAGTTAAAGCTTAACTGAATATCCTGAGTTGCCTACCAGACTAAGTCACTAACTGACTTAATATTCCACTTGCACCACAACCACTTAATTAATACAATATATTATAATATATTATATTAGGGAAAATACTTACACACCCCCACCCAACCCCACCCCGTCATTCCTCACTTCTCTAGTCTCTACTATACTACAAAACACTTGCAATCCTTCCACCAAACCACTCCTCCATATATATATATATATATATATATATATATATATATATATATATATATATATATATATATATATATATATATATATATATATATATATATATATATATATATATATATATATATATATATATATATATATATATATATATATATATATATATATACACACACACACACACACACTGACGGATATATTGGGAATCGACCCGAACCGACCCGAGGGCGCGAAGCAAGAACGGGTATCGGGGCGGCGCCACGTACCCGCCCCGGCCGAGGCCTCGCCACGTGGCCCCCGCACGGGCCACGTTGGAGGCCGGGCCTGCCTCTCCAGGAGGCCGGGCCGACCTCCACATGGGCCCGGCCTGGGTCCATGATGAGCTCGGCCTGGCCCCCGCAGCGCAGCTCGGTCGCGAGACCGGGCGCGGTCAACTCCAGATCCAACTACCCCCCGTTTTAGGGGGAGGCGGTTGGGGGCTTAGCTTGTATAAAAGTCCCCCTCATTGTCCTAACAAGGGATATGCTATCTACGATCTACATTTCCTACATACTTTGTCCTAGAATACTACGGTAATAGCCAATTCTACGGCATTTAATACAATCTATGGTCTCATGGCCTTCGCTATATCATTCGTATTATTTATTTGTTATTCATATTCTTATCCGGATTTAGTGATTCGGGTCCCCCCGGGTTAATTAAATCCATCATTGGTGCTCTTATTGAGAGCTGCTGTACAAGCTTAAGCGCTCTCCCCACTATCGTTCATCCACAGCGATGGCAAGATCGAGATCCAGCTCTCGTCATACCAATGGTTCCCGCGGCACCCAGCTCGTCGCGAACGGGAACGGTCCCAACGGGGCCCCTGCCCCCAGCATCCAACCGGCCGCCTCCCCCAGGTCGGGGGAGGATCTGAGGGCCCAGCTCACCAACCACCGTGGCAGTGGTGCACTGTCACCACCCCCTGTCGCCCCCGCTCCGGCTCGCGCACTCATCCAGGAGGGGGTGGCAGTCTTTGAACAAGCCTCCACGGCGCTGGCGCGAGTCGCGGCGGGCCTTCGGGCAGAGGAACAAGCCGACCTAAGCGCCACCCGAGGGGCGCCGGCGTCACCTCCACCTCCCCCCACCCGGGAGCGCAGCGGTACAAGCACCCGGCCACCCCAGGCACCTATCACCCAGGGGAGGTCAACTCGCCTCGACCATTGGAGAGGCGGGGAGGAGGGGACTCCCGCCGAGGCCGCCATCGCGACGGCGATGGAAGGGCACCAACCCAAACCAGGCCCGCCCTGGAGAGGTTGGGCGATCACGTGTCGGCCCGGGACAGGCTGGGTCCGAGGCCAGCCAACGGTTCCCGCGGCACCCAGCTCGTCGCGAACGGGAACGATCCCAATGGGGCCCCCGCCCCCAGCATCCAACCGGCCGCCTCCACCAGGTCGGGGGAAGATCTGAGGGCCCAACTCACCAACCACCGTAGCAGTGGTGCACCGCCACCACCCCCTGTCGCCCCCGCTCCGGCTCGCGCACTCATCCAGGAGGGGGTGGCGGTCTTTGAACAAGCCTCCACGGCGCTGGCGCGCGTCGCGGCGGGCCTTCGGGCAGAGGAACAAGCCGACCTAGGCGCCACCCGAGGGCGCCGGCGTCACCTCCACCTCCTCCCACCCGGGGGCGCAACGGTCCAAGTACCCGGCCACCCCAGGCACCTATCACTCAGGGGGAGGTCAACTCGCCTCGACCATCAGAGAGGCGGGGAGGAGGGGACTCCCGCCGAGGCCGCCAGCGCGATGGCGATGGAAGGGCACCAACCCAAACCAGGCCCGCCCTGGAGAGGTTGGGCGATCACGTGTCGGCCCGGGACAGGCTGGGTCCGAGGCCAGCCAACTGGCCACCGGCGGAGGAATCATGCTCCCGCCGGCCACTGCGACAAGAATCGGTCACTCGGAGGTCGCCGAGCCACGGGCCACGTGCCCAGTCGCGACACGAGTCAGCCTCGCGTGGGTCCGCAGGGCGGGTCCCCCGACCCCACCCGAGACGTGAGCAGGCCTCCCGGGTCGAACGATCGGGTGAAACGAATGGTAGAGCTCCGAGCTCCCATCGGGTAGAGGTCGAGCAGCTGCGGAGGAGGATGGACGAGCTCCAGAAGAAGATCGAGGAGAGGGACGGATCTCCAGAGCCCCAGGATGTGTTGTCCTCCCCGTTCGCAAACGCCATCATGGAGGAGCCCTTACCTCGAGATTTTCGCTTTCCCACCATTAAAGCGTACTCGGGGACCACGGACCCGCGGGTACACCTGACCAGGTACAGGGCCGCCATGATGATCACCGAGGCAACAGACGCCATCCTGTGTAGGGGGTTCTTCGCCACCCTGGACGGGCAGGCGCATGATTGGTTCGGATCCCTCCCGGCGGGGTCCATCTCCACCTTTGCCGACCTCACCCGGCAGTTCCTATCCCATTTTGCCACCAGCATACAGCGGAAGAAGCAAATTGCCGACCTGTGTGATTTGAAGCAGGGGAGCTCGGAGTCACTAGCCGAGTACCTCAGCAAGTGGAAGAAAGAGGTCATGGGGGTCGCCGACTTTGATGGGAAGTCGGCCATGGTGATTTTCCGAAACAACTTGAGGTCAGGCGCTTTTCACCAGGACCTCATCAGGTACCCCCCCAGGACCTATACCGACCTGATGGACAAGGCAGCAAGGTACGCTGACGCCAAGGCTGCCGAGAAGAGGAAG